ACGTTCCTGAAAACGCTGTGTTAGGCAAAAAACCATGTTAGACAAACTGAAGAACTTATGGGAAAAATAAGGTTACATTCCTGGGAGTCTCCAAAAAGCCAAACAACTTTTTTTTAGACCAACAGATCTTACAAAAATAAAAGTGAATATGTAATTGTAGTCAGTGTCGTGATGTATTATATTGTTTTTACTGCATAAGATTACAAATGCAACAGAAATAATTTTATGTCTTACTTTAAATTGTGGACGCTGGTGTTTGCTGATGGGATGACTGTGAAGAGAGTGGAGAGTTATGCTGTGGTCCTACTGGGCTGAGGTGGATGGTAGAAGTACTGGTACTGAAGTCAATGGATGTACTGGAGTGTGCATAAATTCTGTAAGGGATTTCTGTTGTTTTACCCTACAGTACATTATACAATTGATGGTAAGGCATCAGCTGCTCTAGACACCATTACAGGGTCCTCTTCAGTGAAAAAGTTTAACTTTGTCATTCAATAAGTCAGTCAGTCAAGTGATTCATCCAGTCAAGTCAATCAGTCAAGCAAGTCAATCACACAAACTCACATTTACCTCATTCTTTTCGTGTACAGTGGCCGCAAAAAAAATCTATACATTCCAATGCAAAAAAAAATCTATCCACTAGATTTTGGTATATACATTTCACTTGAATTTCTGCCATAAGAAAAGTGGGCGGAGCTTGTGATGGCTTAGTGTACTGGAGCCAGTCTTGCTCCAACGTTCCCCACCACCTTACACTTCAGTGTTCTTCCACGAACTTTGCCACGCTATATCTCTGCTCCAAGTGGTCAGAATGGGTCAAACCAAACTTTCAATTGTAAAGAAGACTTGTGCACTCACCCTATTAGAGCAAGGCATGTCTGTGATATGCATAACTGCAGACCTGTAGGTGACTAGGATAGCAATTTACAACCTCAAGAAAGCAGCTGCCTCATTCCCACCTAACACTGTACCACCTAGGAAGGTGGGGTCTGGAGCCCCCCAAAAAGACTTCTCTTCATACAGACAAGATCCTGAAGAGGGAAGTATTATCAGATCCTGCCATAACAGCCGCAGACCTCAAGAAAAAGCATCCTGCACTCCTGAAAGACGTCACAGTGTGAACCACTGAGCATTGACTGCAAGAGAACCCGCAAATTCCTGCTTGACATGCCACCAAGAAGCCCATGCTAACTGAAACTGAAGAAATGGCTTCAATTCTGTAAGAAGCACAAGGATTGGACCTCAGACCAGTGGCAGAAAGTGATGTTCAGCGACTAGAGTCCCTTAGGCTCATCAGGAGCGGCTCTAAGACCGTCCGGCGTCCCAGTGGTGTGCCCAGTTATGACCTGCGTTATGCCGTGAAGACAGTGAAGCACCCTAACAGTGTTATGGTCTGGGGTGCTTTTAGTGGTTATATGGGCAGAGGTGGACTATACTTTCTTCCCAAGAACATTACGATGAAGGGAAGTAATCATATTGAGGTGCTAAGGGATCACATGCTGACATTTTGGAACATTCACAAGTGTGATATTTTTATTCATGATGGTGCCCCTGCCCATAAGTCAAAAGGAGTGACAAAGTTCCTCGAGGTCAATAATATCAGTGTTCTGGAGTGGCCCAGCAATTCCCTTGACCTAAATCACATTGAGAATGCCTGGCATGTGATGAAAAATGAGATTGCAAAAGTTCAACCCACCAACATCAAGGACCTGAAGGAGGCACTGAAGAAGCTTTGAATCAAAATGGATGCCTACCTCTTCTCCACCCTTGCCACTTCAATGCCAAGGCGACTTCAAATGGTGTTAAAGAACAACGATAACATGACCAACAAAAAAAAAAAAAAAAAAAAAAAGGCACAATACCGTGACTGGAACGATACACAAATAACCTGCATATAGAAGAGCTTACGACGATGTTTCGGTCCGACTTGGACCATTTACAAAGTCACACTAACAAGAAGTGGAGCAGGACGGGTATATATAGATATGTATACCCGTCCTGCTCCACTTCTCGGTAGTGTGACTTTGTAAATGGTCCAAGTCGGACCAAAACATCGTCGTAAGCTCCTCTCTTCTATGTGCGGGTTATTTGTATATGACCAAGTACTAGTTGGCAGCTAAAAAGTGAAAATAAAACACACGTACATACGATGGTCTACTGTACTTCCCACCTCCAGGACTCACATCTGACTAACCAGTTTCCCTGAATCCCTTCACAAAATATTACCCTGGTCACACTCAAACAGCTCATCAGGTCCCAAAAACCATTCGTCTCATTCACTCCAATTTAACACGCTCACACATGCCTGTTGGATGTCCAAGCATGTTAGTTTATCTGCCCTTCCGATTATCAATGTAAGATGAATTTCTCTATCCTTCCTGATAAAAGCATTGCCCATCTAATTAACCCTTTCAGGATCCAGAGGCCAAATTTCAAAGTGTGCACCAGGGTCCAAGAATTTTCAAAAAAAAAAAAAAAATTTATTATTTTTTCTTATGAAATGGTAGCAAATCATTTTCTGAAGGTAATAAAACAAACAGTATGAAATTTGATGGAAAATTGACGAGATTATCCTCTGGCGAATTTTGATGTGTCAGTGATATTTACGAATCGGCGATTTTGCCGACTTTGACTCCATTTTAAGCCAATTACATTCTTCCAGTCTACCAAATTCTTAGCTATTTCACTAGTATTACTTCTATTCTATTGATTGAGCACAAGAAATCACTAAGTCAACTGTTTCAACTACAAAATAAAGTGATCGGAAATTAGTAATTTGGCCAAATTAACACAAAGTTCAAAATATTCCAGTTTCAAAATAGGGTCCAGAATAAACAATGTAGGTATTCCTGGCACTAAACTAACATTTCCTCTGTTCATTAGTTATGTTTTGAGGCTTTACAAATGAATTCTTTTGATTTTTTATTCACATAATGAATTTTTACTCAAACCAGAAAATAGAAGATTTACTGTTATGCAATATTGTAATAATTGTATAAATATCATCACCACATTTGTGAATGTATATTAGACCCACCAGCTGGTGTGTATTAGACGTGTGAGGTCGTTTGTTTACTCCTGAACATCGACAAAAATTTAACATTTCCGCTACTTTTAGCTCAGTTTCAAGCCATTTCCAGTGCTAAAACCAATCAAAATCATCTCTATTTCTGTAATATGTCTTCCATTCTATCAAATGAGACCAAGAAATCACAAATACTACTACAAAAAACATACGAAAAAACACGGTAAAGTCACTGTTTTAATCGAAAATCATGGTCTCAGTATATAATGAGAGAAAAAAACTGTGCTGCAGGATTTGTTTTATGTGGTGCACACATACCACAAATGTATTCTCTCATATCTAGGCCCAAATTTACCACTCACAGCTTATCAGAGTGAGCTGAGCTCATGGCGTAGATCTACGGTTTGGACCCTGAAAGGGTTAAAGCAAAATTTTTGTCAAGAAACAAGCTTGGCCCTAGGTTGGTGAGCTTTGTTTAATATTTTAAATGTCCCTAGACAAGGCTCTTACCACTAGGTGCCAGCATTTATTTGTTTAACATTTTGTGTGTGTTACACCAGCCCCCATTGTAATTTCAAATACCTTAACCCATTCACTGTCAGAAGCTCCAAAATTAAGTGTTCATGATGTTGCATCTAAAAAAAAAACTCTTAAATGGTAGAATATCTTTTTCTTAAGGTAATGACAATAAAAATACAAAATTAGATTGCAAGCTTATGGCATTATGCACGTAAAAAGTTAGCTGTCTGGGCACGACTTACTCATCAGTGATTATAAGCCAATTCCTTTGATCAATTCAGCCAATTTCTTAGCAATTTCACTATTTCACATTTCTTAGCTATTTTACTATGCTTTCCATTCAACTGACTGAACACTAGAAACCACCCATTCAACCATCAGAACTACCCTATAAAATGCACAGGAGTCAGTAATTTGGCCATTTTTACACTATTATTATTATTAATTATTATTATTATTATTATTAGTCATGGGGAGTGCTAAACCCATATGGGTCATACAGTGCTTGGTAGAATATCAAGGGCATTGAGGTTCAATCCATACTATGTCTCCCATTCTATCAAATGATACCAAGAAATAGCCAATAACTCTATAAAACTATCCTAGAAAGCACCTCGAATTGCAATTTTAAACCAAATACAAGGCAAAAGTTTTGCTTTTCCCATCATGTACTACAGGAGCAGTATTTTTCTTATATAGTGCACACTCATTGCACACACCCATTCTCTCATATCTAGGTCAAAATTTACCATTCAGCTTATCTGAGTGAACCGAGTTCAATACATAGATCTACATAGGTAATCCTGGTACCAATGATGTAGATCTATGGACGAGACAATGAAAGGGTTACAATATGCAGAAAACTAGGAGTATGCCAAGTATCAATGGGTATCGACCGATTTTGATAGTATCAATGCTGGTAGCAGTCTAAACTGTGCATCAGTATCAATGAGTATCGCAAAATTTGCTGGTATCGTTCTTTGGTAGTTATTGGCAAATTGTGATGGCACTGGAATCAGCAAAAGAGAAATTGGTATGGTTTCATCCCTATAGAAAATATTCATTCTGAACTGTCACTTTTAACTAAATCTAAATTTTTATCTTGGTGTACTAGTATGAGGTAGCTTGTAAAGACTAGATATATGTAGTCTGCCCAAAATGATCTACATAACAAGGGCTTCATTTAGAACATACAAGACGATGTGATCTCGGAAATGGATTAAATCTGTAAATAAGCAAATTTAACCCATCCATTGTATTTTCTATTTATGTTTTAAATAAAGATTTTGATTTTTTTTATACATGTTGAATACTAATAGTTTTCCCCCCAAAGCTTCTAAAATTGAGGTGGACAAAATGTAAAGTAGCATCCTCATGCAATACAAAATGTGGTAACTAAATAACATTCTAAAGAGGCAGGTTCATAACTAAATGCAAATAAAACATTTTACATTACCTTCCACCTCTTCCACCCCTGCCTCCTCTTCCTCCCCGACCTCCTCTTCCCCCTCTCTCATCTTGCCGATGGCTGTCCTGTTGTCGGTGATTAACAGTAAATTCTATATCTACTGTGCGAGCTTGTCTGGCAGCCTGCTTACTCATGTTCTGGCTGTGAGTCTGGGTACAGTGAGCTGAAACAATACATTTTATGACTGAAAATAACACTGATTGACCTTTCAATATACAATGAAATCTATATTTCATCTAATGCATGTAAATGAAATTATATTATTATAGTTAATGTATTATTATCACCATCTCCATACTTTTGGAGAGTAATGATGCAAACATTTATGTAGAAGAGACACTAATCAGATTAAATTCAAGTTATACACTGCATTTCCTTTCACACACACTTCCATTTTCATAATCACAAAGAGCTAGCAGAGTCTAATTTCACTTAACAGTACAATAAAGATCTGTACATCATTTTTTCAAATCTGATCATCCAGGATTTTCACTTGTGTAAAAATTGGGACTTTTCCCAGATTGCCTGGTTAATTAAAACACTATACTCTGACAGGCAGCACATGCAGCTCCTTGGTATGGCCCTGCAGTCAAACCACAACAGTGACTATTCTGCTATCATGTAATCTTTTTATCTCATAACATTGTGAAATTCCAACTAATAATGGCAACATGCCTATCCAGAATCTTAATTTTACATCTGCTCTGCAAACTGGTACCTGATTAGACAATAACAAACAAGAAATATTTATTGTTAACAAACGTAAATTACATGTTATTTTCTTCCACATTCACACAGATATCCAACTTATAACTGTGACATGTATACTCAGGATCTTAATTCTTCACCTGGTCTACACGATGGAGCATCATGAAGGAAAGAATGAGCAAGAAATTTTGGTGGTTTAGAGTGAAAGATACAGCATAAAGTATTACCACTTAATGAGGGTGTTGATCCTGTAGGCATATTTGTGGTACAGTGTGGGCATCATAATCCTAACATTCTAAAGATTCTTACAAAGCATGTGTTACAGTAAACTGTCACTTTCATGGACTATTAGGGAGGGAGAAGCGACAAGGTGACCAGTACTTCAGTACTTGCAACTGTAGTGAACAGTGATGGGACTGCTTTACCATTGATTGTAACTATAATGGACAATTCTGTAAACAATGAACTCTCTTTTGTTTTCAAATTAAACTGACACAGAGGAATTTGTCTAATATTTCCAAAGTACCTTTACCTATGACATGTTTTGCAACTTTTCCTACTCCCACAGCCCAGGTCTGGACTAGGCACCCTGTTGACTGCTATCTGACCTGGTTGTTGCTGTTGACAGCCCGTCTGCTTACACATCCATCACAGCTTGATTGACCTGCCACACCATAGTAGTGATCTAGTTTCCTATACATTGGTTCTGGCAATATTTCTGGTACCTGCTGGTATCAGATTGAAAAATCTAGGCCCACTGATGTTAACCCTTAATAACTCTCCTCTCCTATTTTTAACTGACAAATCCATTTGTTCTCTAGGCTTTCTTAACTTGTTAATCTCACTCCAAAACTTTTTCTTATTTTCAACAAAATTTGTTGATAACATCTCACCCACTCTCTCATTTGCTCTCTTTTTACATTGCTTCACCACTCTCTTAACCTCTCTCTTTTTCTCCATATACTCTTCCCTCCTTGCATCACTTCTACTTTGTAAAAACTTCTCATATGCTAACTTTTTCTCCCTTACTACTCTCTTTACATCATCATTCCACCAATCGCTCCTCTTCCCTCCCGCACCCACTTTCCTGTAACCACAAACTTCTGCTGAACACTGTAACACTACATTTTTAAACCTACTCCATACCTCTTTGACCCCATTGCCTATGCTCTCATTAGCCCATCTATCCTCCAATAGCTGTTTATATCTTACCCTAACTGCCTCCTCTTTTAGTTTATAAACCTTCACCTCTCTCTTCCTGATACTTCTATTCTCCTTGTATCCCATCTACCTTTTACTCTCAGTGTAGCTACAACTAGAAAGTGATCTGATATATCTGTGGCCCCTCTATAAACATGTACATCCTGAAGTCTACTCAACAGCCTTTTATCTACCAATACATAATCCAACAAACTACTGTCATTTTGCCCTACATCATATCTTGTATACTTATTTATCCTCTTTTTCTTAAAATATGTATTACCTATAACTAAACCCCTTTCTATACAAAGTTCAATCAAAGGGCTCCCATTATCATTTACACCTGGCACCCCAAACTTACCTACCACACCCTCTCTAAAGTTTCTCCTACTTTAGCATTCAGGTCCCCTACCACAATTACTCTCTCACTTGGTTCAAAGGCTCCTATACATTCACTTAACATCTCCCAAAATCTCTCTCTCTCCTCTGCATTTCTCTCTTCTCCAGGTGCATACACGCTTATTATGACCACTTCTCGCATCCAACCTTTACTTTAATCCACATAATTCTTGAATTTACACATTCATATTCTCTTTTCTCCTTCCATAACTGATCATTCAACATTACTGCTACCCCTTCCTTTGCTCTAACTCTCTCAGATACTCCAGATTTAATCCCATTTATTTCCCCCCACTGAAACTCCCCTACCCCCTTCAGCTTTGTTTCGCTTAGGGCCAGGACATCCAACTTCTTTTCATTCATAACATCAGCAATCATCTGTTTCTTGTCATCCGCACTACATCCACGCACATTTAAGCATCCCAGTTTTATAAAGTTTTTCTTCTTCTCTTTTTTAGTAAATGTCTACAGGAGAAGGGGTTACTAGCCCATTGCTCCCGGCATTTTAGTCGCCTCATATGACATGCATGGCTTACGGAGGAAAGATTCTTTTCCACTTCCCCATGGACAATAGAAGAAATAAAGAAGAACAAGAGCTATTTAGAAAAAGGAGAAAACCTAGATGTATGTATGTATATATATATGCATGTGCGTGTCTGTGAAGTGTGACCAAAGTGTAAGTAGGAGTAGCAAGATATCCCTGTTATCTAGCGTGCTTATGAGACAGAAAAAGAAAACAGCAATCCTACCATCATGCAAAACAGTTACAGGTTTCTGTTTCACAGTCATCTGGCAGGACAGTAGTACTTCCCTGGGTGGTTTCTGTCTACCAACCTACTACCTACATTGTGCATGTATCATTGATTTCTGTGTAGAAAAATGAATATTTCATGTGAAAAAAAAAAAATTCATACTTCTGGGAGTCTGGAACGGATTAATAGGATTTCCATTATTTCTTATGGGGAAAATTAATTCGGCTAACGATAAATTCGGCTAAGGACAAGCTCTCTGAAATGGATTAAAATCGTTGGTTGAGGGTCCACTGTATATACAGTAGACCGTCATTTAACACTGTAGTTACGTTCCTGAAAACACCGTGTTAGGTAAAATCGTGTTAGATGAACTGAAGAACTTATGGGAAAAATAGAGTTACATTCCTGGGAACCCCGACAAAGCCAAACAACTTTTTTTTTAAGCCTCCACATCTTACAAAAATAAAAGTGTGTAGTTGTAGTTCTTTGTTGTGATGTATTATCTTGTTTTTACTGCTTAACCCTTTGAGGGTCCGTCCCGTAGATCTACGGCTTCACGTTCAGGGTCCAAACCGTAGATCTACGTCATGAGCTCAGCTCACTCTGGTAAACTGTGAGTGGTACATTTGGGCCTAGATGTGAGAGAATACATCTATGTGGTATGTGTGCACCACATAAAACAGATCCTGCAGCACAATGTGTATAATGAGAGAAAAAACTGAAATCATGATTTTTCGATTAAAACAGCGACTTTGCAGTGTTTTTTCTTATGTTTTTTATAGTTCTATTTGCGATTTCTTGGTCTCATTTGATAGAATGGAAGACATATTCAGAAATAGGAAAATTTTGATTGGTTTTCGCATGGAATGGCTTGAAACTGAGCTCAAAGTAGCAGAAATGTTAAATTTTTGCGAAAATTCAAGAGTAAACAAATGACCTCACACGTCTAAATTACAGCAGGGCCCCGCTTTTTTGGCTTTACTTTACGGCTTCCACAAATACGGTCATTTAAATTATGACCCAAACTGCTATATGGTCCCCCACTGACTTTCTAATACGGTCACCGCGCCCACCTGTTTGTTTACATTCTTCGTGAGCTCAGAAGCACTAAGTCTCTCCATTTTGTCGGGGAAACTCAAAATTTCAAATTTTTTTAAAAGTTATTTCATTTTTTTTATATACTCTGATAATTTAAATACTTATGTATACCTGTACTTAAAAACTTACATACTGTGCTGGCATCAGGTACCATTAAAATCAGGTAAGAGTGTCTTATGTCCCCAGAGTCATATTAGTAATGATAATAATAATCATAAGTTTCATTTAAAATGTCGTATATTACGTTAAATAAACATTTTCATTAAACATCTGTGATATTTTTCAAAATTATATAATAAAACCCAAATACATAACTAAAAAAGATGATAAATAACCCACAATAGAATAAACTTAAATATGAGATGTGGTAGAGACATTTGACAAGTGACGCATATTAGAAATGATATAATAATAATCAACGAGTCTCATTAAAATGTTGTATATTACTTTAAATACACATTTTCATTAATCATCCATGATATTTTTTTCAAAATTATTAATAACACGATTACATAACATAAAAAGATGATAAAACACCCCACAATAGAATAAATAAACATAAATTGAGATGTTGGTAGCCAGTTTCTTGTACAAGTGACGCCAAGAACAACATTTTCTCTAATCTAACATAAGAGAAAATGTGTTACTGGGGGTAACTGTAGAAAATTATTCCTTTCGTATGTATGTAAGTTTATTCAGGTATACACAAATACAGTTACATAGATTATCATTCATAACAACATATGTGTAGAGAACCTAGGATAACCCAAAAAAGTCAGAGTAACTTATTTCCATTGCCTTCACTCAGAGCATCATTTCTTCTCAAAATGATGTTACATGAGAATGGGAGTATTCTTCTTTGTTTATTCTACCGTATCAATGTAGAGACAACCTGTACACAATGTAACTTGTACACAAACCAGACGTGTACACTTTGTTTACGTAACTCTGCGCCTGTACTCTCTCATGCACTCATTCTTTCTCTCTCTCATTTATTCGTTTTATA